AAGACTCTCACCCTTTTTCTTTTTCAGAGCTGGGGAAACAGTGTTGAAAACACTGACCTTGTTCAAGAGCACAGGTAGCGTGGGAGGGAAGCAGCCTCTCTGGATGGCTTTGGACAAACTTGGAGAAAAGGGTTGTATGCTTGCTAACCAAAAATGCTCCACAAAATAGGTACAGCAGTATGGATCCTGTGGTCTTAGCTCCACTGCAGTGACCTCAGGCTCTTCGTTCTGTGGAACTTGTGGGTCAGCACATCCCTTGGGTATATAAATATGTATATATATATAAAGCCCTGACTAAATAATGACCACAACATGTGGCTTAGCAGGGCTCAGGTCTTCTTCATGGCTGCTGCAGTTTATTGTCCTGGAAAGACAGAATTGAGAGACAAAAAGGTGAAAGAGTGAGTCCCTAGATGATGGTTCAGGGACTTGGATATTTTGCTCCCATTCACATGAAAGCTTCTAGTTGCTGTTTGGATGCAAGAAGACCCAATATTGTTGGATTTGGGTATGAGTCTGAATATGGAGCTATTGCTTTGTCCTTACTTCTACGTAACTAAAGCTGCTGCTTTCATAATAGACATTCAGGAAAATCTACAGAAGATGGATATGTTTTGTTCCTGTTCTCATAACACCTGCCCTTGAGCTCCTTACAGGATGATGCTGGAGACCAGAAGCACAGTACTTCAGTATCAGATAGAAAAACAAAGTTTCTGTCAGGGGGAACAAAGATATTTGTTGAGTTCAGTTTACAGCTAGTCATTTCCAGGTGTGCTGGGCAATGTAGGGTGGAGTACATTACAGAACACACTTTTAACTGTTGGGAACCATTAAATGAATAATACAAATCTGTACTTACATAACTGGTTCATGATTTGGCATTTTCCTAGTGGGATGAGATACCATACCAAGCACAATTGTGCCTGGCTAAAACGCCTTGCAAATGTACTGCAGCTTACTATTGCCTTGTATTTACGTACGGCTGTTGTAAAGAGCTAGACACCCTTCTCTCTTTGTTTCTTCTTTTCATTCGATCTCCAGAGAGCCCCAGGTTCCCAGTGTAGTGGGGAGGGAACAGGGACGGCTGCTTTTAGGACAACAGTGCTGGTTGTGGATTGACTACTGTGCTTCTTTTCTTTTGCTTTTATCCTTCTATCTACAGCTGACGAAGAAGGCGGATACTATGATGGTAGCTCGCTGTTGTCTTAGGACAACAAAGTCATCTTTCTAACATCTCACCCTTTTTTGTTTGTTTGTGTTTTTGTTTCTCACCTGATTTTAAACTCAGGAACTGGGCCAAAACCTCACTGCCGCAAAGAATCACTCACTGTGTATATCCGGTCACTCTTGGGAACTCTGTACATCTCCACTAGGGTAGCAGGTGGTGAAACTCAAGACCTAGAAACTTGTTCTGTTTTTTTCAGATAAATCCCATGTATCAAATCTTTCATTATCATAACCTTTCAACCCAAATAATTAGTCAAGCCTCTCTTTAATTCCATTGGTATGATTAAAAATGAAGCTTGGCCTTGTGTGGATATGCCTCCCTCATCCACCCTTGAAGGTCAAGCTCTTCAGGCTGGAATCTGCAGATATTTAAATTTCTGCTCCAACCACACACTTAAAATGGTCCTTAGCACTGAACATACAAATGAATTTATTCAGACTGATGGAACAATTCATTTGCTGCTTAAAACAGTAAATTTTTAAAAATCTGGTTAAATAGGCCCTGGAACACATAGATAGAAATGAGAATCTCGAAAGAACCAAATCTATGAAGGGACAGTTTTGCTCTGGTATGCGGGCAAGTAACTCCAGCCCCCAGAGCAAAATGCAAAATCAGTTTAAAGGTATAGGAAGACTCTCGTGGACTTCAAAAACCTTTGACGTAGCTAAGTTGTGTTCTGATTGCCTCAACCCCTATATTATTTGGCCAGATGTTTCCGAAGACAAAGCCCAACACCACTGGGAACGATTTTTCTTTTTCTGTGATTTCTTGTTTTGTTTTTGTTTTTCACTTTGTTCGTTTAAATTTACTTGTTCACTTTTCAGGATTTTATTTTTCATTTTTTAATTCTAGGGATATCCTCTGAGGACCTTTCAGAGCCTCTCACAACACTTTTCACTTCAAAATGGGATCTTTTCCTCTTTCTTTCTCTCCTATTTCTTCCCTCTTACTTTTTTAATAGCATACTGTTTTTCAGGGACACACTGTGGGTTAGAGATGTTGTTTCTCAGCAGTGGGGCAAAGGAGGGTGTTTAGGAATTTCTGATTGAAGCAAAGGCAGGTCAGATGGATTTGCATAAAGAGGACTGTGGTGGGAATATCTCACAGAGTGAGCAGGAGAATGTTTACTGTGCTGTGTGTTGTCTTTGAACCAACTCTTTTGGAAACCAGAAATTCAGAGACTCTACCTCTAATCACCATGTCAGTGAACTTGGATTTCCAGTGGTTCTTGCCTTCTTTAGGCAGGAATGTGTATGGGGATTTTGTCACAAAATTTTGTCACATTTTGCCCTATGCTCCGTGGGCAGAATGAGCACAAGATCAATCAAAATCCACCACCAAGGACAGGAATTTGCTACGAAAATTCCTGTGTATCAATAAATTTTGGCCCAGTTCCTTGACTCTCTCATGAAAGATGGGGTATCTCAAAAGAAATCACATCTCTGAGCTCCTTTTGGTGCATTCAGTATGGACCATGCTGGATCATGTACTGCAAAGGACATCTTAATTGCTGCTCATTTTTAAATAAATCATTCTGTTTCTTCATTTTCCCCTTTTCTGGTTTTCTGGAGGCACCTTTAAATATCCTAACTACACCTTTTTTTTTTTTTTTTTTCAAGAAAACTAATCAACCTTTTATTCATACATTTATTTATTTTTGACAATTGTTTGTTGGTTTGATTACATTGAAAATGCTGATTTGGTGGAAGCTGAAGCCAAATTCACCCAGTCATTGACAGACAGATGTCAATCCTGGCACTCAAGGTCAACAAACAAAATCCATCATTTCCTCTCCTCTTTTTTCTCTCTGAAGTGTTACTAACTGACAGCCTTAAGTTAAACAGGAGTGTTTATGAGAATTACCTGGCTGTGTCACGAGGGAAGGGAATCCTGTGTGAATTAACATCCCTGTTAGTCTGGTTAATCGTGACTACTTCCACTGTCCAGCTTGAAGAACAAAAATAGAACCATGTAACCTATGTTTTAATAAGCTCACTGGCTATTTGAAAAGCAAAATGATTTGAAAAAATAACTGGAGAAGCACAGAAGTACATTTTTGCCTATTTTTCTTCAGGAGTGATTTGTGGCTTCCTTTATAGAAGTGCTCTCAATCTTTTCTAATTACATGTTGTGTGTTTTATTAGCACTGCTCTGGCATTTAGAGGCCTCTGCTGAAGTATGTTTTAGTAGGCAATGTTCTTATAGTAAGTGAGGAAAATGCCTGCCTCAGAAATTTCATTTCTGAAATTGATATGTGAGAGAAAAGAAAGCTTTGCTTCTGATCTCCTTTATTCATCACTCACATCTTTTCTCATAATTATCCCAGTTTCTCATTTTCAGTCACTTCCTCCATCTCTGATTATCCAATATCCTTGCAAGCATCTCCACTAAATATTTTCTAGTATCAGTTTTTGATATTTTCTCCCTCATTATTATTGATTTTTTTAATTCTCTGTTTCCATTCCTATTCACAGTTTCCCCAGTCAGTCCCAAAGTGGATGCAAATGAGCACTTGACAAAATTAATACTATATAATATAATGTAATATATTATATTCTATTAGGTATTATAATATCTTTCTCTGTCTTGATACGGATAACCAGGCATTCACTCCTGAGGGAAGCAGGTTTCATTTTTCCTTTACAAAGCCACCTGTTTTTACCAGGTTTAATAGGCTGTGAGCTTTTTACCTCTGTTCCTCCCACTGAACCAACACAGGGAAAGTCTTGTACAGCAAAATCCAGCATCCCTGAAAGTTCAAACGTAGCATGTGGTTATGAAAGTCAATCTGAGCCTCTGTGAGACTGGGCCAGAATAAATATGTAAGTTTAATTCACTTCTATTTGTGAGAATAACAGTGCTGAACTTATTGGCATTAGACTTGGGCTAATATCAAAAGTATAAAAGGCATAGCAGAGAGGGGGATTGATCACAAGCACAGATGTTAAGCAAGAAACTCCTAAAGACAGCACGTTTCTGAGAGCCAGGAAAAGGTAACTTGTTGCAGGGAGACACCTCTGACTGCCAGCCTCTGTGATGGCTTAGCCCTCCTTACAGGGTATTACATCTTCCCTGGAGATGCAAAGATTATTTCCATTACCACTTATGGAAATTTTGCTCACTAAGAGAGGATGGTCTTTCCAAGCTGGGTTTGATGGGCACCACATGGTACAGAAAAAGGAACATTCTCCTCATGGCATCAAGATATCTCCAAGATATGTGTCTTAAGCTGTCTTAGGAGCCCGTGGGCACAGAGAAAATACAGGGCATCAGCCTTTTTTTCCCTCCTGGCCTCCATGTGAGGCCTTTAATTTAAATCAACCAAGCCTATTTTATCAGTGACTCCATTACAAATCCAAGCTAACTTCAGTGAATGAAGGGCTGATTGAAACAGGCAATGTTTTCCTCCACCTGAATGCCCAGCTGTCCTCCTTAGAAGTCGGTCAGGACATTTTGAGAAAAATAATTCGTCATTTACATGAAATCATTTACTGCCTTCCAGATGCTACGTTTGGGACTTTTATACAATCTCTTGATTCTTTTCTGCCAAATTCTGTTTTAAGGATAAAAACAGATTCACTCCCAGCAGAAGGGGTATGTGAGCCTGCATATTTCTTTTGGAAGTGTTTGTGATTTAACCAGTTTCTTTGGGATGTTTCCCCTAAGATTGAATTTCCCTTCCCTCCTTTTACTTTAGCAGCTGGCATGATCTCTGTTGTTCTAACTGTTCTCCTTTTTCCCTTCCTGTTTTGCTCCATGTTTCCAAATACAGAGGAGAAGCCCAAAATAAAGTAAGTATGAAGGGTAGTGAAACCTTGTGATCGTATTTCTGATCCAGCAGAAGCCTGCAGTGTCTGTTACACAAATGGCCATCAGAAAACTTTGTACAACCCTCCCCTCATGCAGTTCTCTGTGTGCCTTTCCAGGACGTTTGCTCCTGCCAGGGGACACCTTAGCAACAGTTACTGGCCAGGGTCTTCAAACCAGTTCATCATAGAGTTGGGGAAGTGACAAACTGTCCATGTCCCACAACTTCCAATGGAAATGAGGTGTCTTGGCTGTAAACTCTTTGTGAAAGCATGTAGCTGGGAGCAACCCTGATTGCTGACTGCTGGAGGAACGGCAAACATTAAGCTGGGCTGGCTAGAGCTTAACTATGTTTTCCTAAAGATTACCTGGCTCTGGGTTCCAGCACCTTCCCTTTCCCACTCTGCTAAATGCCCAGAAGAAGAGTGCATGGATGACAACCTTGTGAGCCACTGTGTTTCTGTCTAGTAGGGAATGGCCATAGATTTGGGGAATGGAAGACATTTTCACAGATGACTTCCTGTTCTGCACAAGCCTCCATGAAGTTCAAGGGTCTCTAGTGGTCTCTGGACTTGTTTTCAGTTAACTTGCTGTTTCACAGCTCTGCATCTCCATTAACATCTCTCTTTGTCAGCATCATTCTCAAGGGCAGATCAGTTCAGAACATGCCTATTTTCTAACATGAAAATCCTTTTTTTCTCTCTTTTCTCTCTTCTCTGTCTTTTCTCACTTTTTTTTTTCCCCCTCTTATTTCCCCTTTCTGTTTTCCCTTTGTCTTTTTATTATTCCTTTTCCTATTCCTTCCCTTCTCTTCCCTTTCCATTTTGATTTTGTCTCTCTGCAGGCTAACTGCTCCTAAAATACCGGAGGGTGAGAAAGTAGATTTTGATGTGAGTATTCCTGAGGCTGTATGTGTTTGCTTGTCAGTACCTGAGCTGTATGTATGTGCAAAACCACGTAACTCCATCTGTATTGAATATAACTGAAGGTACTGTCCAGGACAGAATGAATGCTAGCTGGTGTTTTCCATTAAAGGCTGCCCTCTCCTCTTTGAAGGTCTATGGATACATTTGTGGCTGATATGGCCAAGACAAACTCTTTATTACTTGTTTGTTTGTTTGTTTGTTCTTACTTCTTGAAATTTTGGAGCAAAAGGAGCAAGAGGCTTAGGATCTCTAAGATCCCCTGTCGCACTGCTACAAATGACCCAAAAGTTACTGAGAAGTTTGAAATAAAGCAGGTCTGTGCTCAACTGTTGCTGAGAAACTCCACCTAAAATGACAGCAAAAGATTAACAACAGAGATTCAAATACTTTCCTAGAAAGTTGACATGTAATTGAAAAACTTCTGGTATTGAGAATCCCTGCAGAAATGTCTGCCTTACTCAAAAATGCAAGGGCATTTTTAGGTAAGGTTCGCATCCCAGTACTTTGGCTGAACTTTGTACATAGGAGGATACTAAGCCAAGCTAATGATAAAACTCTATGCAGTGAAATAGAAGTTGTGGATTCTGTTCCCTTCTGGGTTTCCGACCACCACCTGGGTTGGTCTCTGACCTGCACCAACACGTACTGAATCCAGCCCATAGGTAACTGCAACACTTTCTGCTTTTGTTTCTGTATGTGTTGGCAGAGCGCTGGGAGTCTCCAGGCTGTGTACCTAGTGCACTACAGGCTTACTGAAAGCTTTTCACTGCTCTTCTAGGACATCCAAAAGAAGAGGCAGAACAAAGACCTGATTGAACTGCAGGCTTTGATTGACAGCCACTTCGAGGCCAGGCGTAAGGAAGAAGAAGAGCTGGTTGCCCTGAAGGAGAGGATTGTGAGTCCTTGTATTGCTCATCAGTGGTGCTAGATGACAGAAAGATGAGAATTTAAACCATTGATCTTTTTACTTTGGTAGTGTTGCCATGCACAGGAATGATTCACGTCACCCCCAGATTGCTTGTTCTCACGTCTGTTTTCTCACTCATCTCCATTTCATACCTGGTATTTGCACATCAGTCCCATCCTGCACATCCTGGCAAGGGAGCCAATGGCTCACTGTGTACCAAAGCTGTTGGTGGTGGGGACTACAAGAGGCAGGTGAAGCCACATGGCTGAGTTCAAGCCTTTGTCACTGCTTCTTGCAGGAGAAGCGCAGAGCTGAGAGAGCAGAGCAACAGAGAATTCGGGCTGAGAAGGAGAAGGAGCGTCAAGCACGGCTTGCGGTAAGCATCCTCATGTCTCTTTTTGTTTCAGCATCTAGATGAAGGAGATTTCTAGAGATGGAAAGAAACTACAGGTTCTGTCTATCTCGGTCCACAGAAGAGATGACCATCCTCTTAAAGCAAGGGTGGGACATGAGAGTTGCCAGTATTCACATGTATTTTACCTGATCACACTCCCTGTAGGAACACAGGTTGCTAGAGAAACTGAGCATCTCTCCTAAAGTAACTTGCTTCTTTGTCTTGCACTCTGCAGGAGGAAAAGGCACGGAGAGAGGAAGAAGATGCCAAGAGAAAAGCTGAGGATGATCTTAAGAAGAAGAAGGCTCTGTCCTCTATGGGTGCCTCATACAGCAGCTATCTGGCAAAGGTAAATGCACAGATCAAGTGTTAAACCACTGGGTTGTCAAGAAAGAGTCTGTATTATAAGTTGAGAAAAAAAATTGACTTTCCTTCTTATGGATTCCTAGCAACTTGTCCTACATGCTCTGTTAATGAACTTATTTTGTTCAGCCTGCGTTTCTGCAGTCTGACATGAGTTGATGTTTTGAAAATAGGCTGATCAGAAGAGAGGGAAGAAGCAAACAGCTAGAGAGACAAAGAAGAAGATCCTGGCAGAGAGGCGCAAGCCCTTGAACATTGACCATCTTAATGAAGACAAGCTGAGGTAACATGCTTGCCCTCACTTACTGTAATGTAATCCATTGAAATTTGGACTTACTGTCCTGGGGTCCTCTCTAGCAAAAGAGTGAGGGAGAGAAGGAGGCTTTCCTTGGAATTCTTCAAGGGACAATATCAAATTCTGCTTTTCCTTGGTCTGAAGAACAGAGGGGAAAATGAGACATGAGATATTATTGAAATGGCCTGTCAGTCCCATTTAGAATGTCAGCCAGTGGACTAGGCACAAACTTTAAACCCAAATCTGAAGTAAGATAAACAAGCTCACAGATTGATTTTTACTATCACAGTGTACCCGGGGTAGTTAGAGCTGCTAAGTTATGAGTAAGAATACCACTGAGGCTGGAGGCTTGGGAGCTGAGTGCTCAGGTGCAGAGCAGTCTTCACTTGATGGCCTGGACTGTACGCAGTGGAGTTTAACTTTGGCCCTAAAGCAGATGCGATTGTACAATAGAAGCTGCTGTGCTCATCTCCAAGGCATTCAGACATTCTTCCTTTTCATCTAATTCCCCTGGACTCTTCTTTATCCTTACAAGTTAAGGGGAAAATTAAATCTGGCAGAAGCATATTAGTGATGGGTACATGCAAAAGTAGAAGGCTAAAAGATTCTCATCTGAGAAAGTGTGACCTTGACTAACTTTCAGAGTTAAGTAGCTTTCAGAGGCCAGAAGAAGTTGGCAGGATAACGCATGAATGGAACTGAACAAAATGTGAAATGCCTCACTAATAGTGATGTGAAAACTGCAGAAAATACATGATGTGATGTGTTTCTCCTCTTGCCCTTTCCCTGTAAACACATAGGGACAAGGCGAAGGAACTGTGGGACTGGTTATACCAGCTGCAGACTGAAAAGTATGACTTTACTGAGCAAATAAAGAGGAAAAAATATGAGGTGAGTGGAAAAACCATTTTTCTACTGATACCAGCTCCAAAACACTAAAATCTCCAAGAATTCTCTAGCAAAAGCTACACAATGGCAAAATCATTTGATTCTTCAGTGACCTTTTGGAATATTTAAGCAGAAATGCACCTGGAACTATAATCCCCCTGAAGTACTTGGACTGGATTTCACATTTTAGGCTGAAATTTCATAGATGATCCTCAAGGCTTTCAGTGCCCTCTTGGAAAGCCAGTGTCATTGAAAAAATGCACCTATTCAAGCACACTTTGTTTATTCTTGTTTATCTTCTAGGTAACTGTGGTACAAAAAAAATCAGAGTCTCAATTCACTCATTCACTCATTTCCATCACAAAGTAATGTTTTTAAATGTCTTTGATTTCACACTTGAATGTATTAAGTTTGATACCTGTCCCAGACAGAATCCCTGTGAACTGAGTTCTCTGGAGTTACTGAAACCTTTCTCCAGACGGGAGCATCTGACTGCATTGTCAAATGGTAACATAAAGTGGATAGGTTTCCTTCACAACATGTTACCTACACCAGGTTTCAGTGGCTGAGAAATCCTACTGGTTCATTCTGTCTTGCTCTACTTTTAACTCCCAATTACGCAGGCACTCACTGACAGGGAATGAGCAACACCAATGTAATTATCTCAATCTCTCTTAGATTTTAACAGTACGTTGCAGGCTGCAGGAGCTTTCCAAGTAGTAAGTACGATGAACTTGTCTGTGTAACAGCAGCAGCAAAGGCTACCAAATGCATGAGCCTGCAGCATGGTCAGAGGTCAGTGCCGGACAGAAACTGGCACTTGGCTCCAAGTGCAGAGAGAAAAAGAAAAATGCATCTTGTGTGACTTCCTTCACTTCCTTTTTCTCTCCCTTTGTGCTCTTTGAAAAGAGCTAAAGTAATTTAGGAGAAGAGTCAGGATCTAACAGGGTTGTAGCTGAAGAACTGAGCATTTGGCCCACTCAGTTCATCTCTACAAATAATTCTCTGTCCAAACCTCTGCTTTTAGCTGTGTGCAGGAATCAACACACCTGAGATAGAAGCAGAAGCTTAGGGATGCACAAGAAGCATCCTGAACCCCATAGAAAAGAATGGTATGGAGTGTGGGAAGGTTCTTCACCTCGAGGCTTAATGGCTACCCAGATCCCAAATACTGAAGAGGGTTAGTTTAAGGATAACAGGTCATCTGAATGTTCAACAGCAGGAAATAAGGCAGTGGCAGGTGTGTTGTACATGTTATGGTAATGAAGACTCTATGCAGACAAATGGAAGATAGCCGATAAGGAAAATCAAGGCCGTGGAGTGCAAATAGTGGCAAAGTAGAAGGAAAATGCACAGCTGAGGTGTTAGAATTGGGAGATTCTAAGGGAAGGAAGTGGGGAGAAAGGTAAGTGAAAACAGCAAAGAGAATGAGGGAGAGATGAGTGAGGATGAAAGGGAGAGATGAAGGAAGGAATGGGAACACACAGGAATGGAGCTGTTCTTTGGCTGTAGAATCCGTTGCTCTTTGGTGCTTCCTTGGAGAGTGAGTGTAATAGTCACTATGGCAAGGTTGTCAGTGAAGGTAAGTCTTAAGTCCTTGGGTCAACCTGAAGAGAGAGCTGGTTTTCCTCCACACTTGTGAAAAACAGCCAGTTACCACAAACAGTTTAAACTGCTGCAGCAGATATTAAAAATTCCACGAGTAAGTACAAAAGCAGCTGACGAGCTGCTCTTTCCTTCCTTGTATTGTCCTGTTCCTGCTAATGTTTCAGTCTCTTATTTTGTCTGTTTGCCATGGAAAGACACAACCCAGGAAATATCAACCCAGTTGTTGGGCCAACCTGAATGTATGACTTTTTACTTTTGTTCTGCACGAGAGGAATATCAAACACTGCTTTAAATATTCAAATGCTGGGTCACTGGTTCTTGGACATGCAGAGGCAGTGGAAAACTTTGAAGCATACAGAAGCAGCAGCAAAATGTATGTCTTGGCCAGAGATTTTTCTACATGAGAAAAGCTAGGTAGAACCTTGACTTAGTTACAAATGAGATGGTGAGGAGGCAAAAGAGGACTCCCTGTCACACTCTCGTTCTCTGGGGCTTTTCCACTGCACTGGAGGTCCTGGGATTTCAGTAATGAGTCCAGGCCTATGGGCCAGGATTATGATGCTAAGACAGGCCAGAATGTGCTTACGCTGCAAAAGGTAGGTGTTTGCTTTCCACGCATCATGTTGAAATCTAAATCTACCCACGGCAAAGCAAAGTTAGACATCTTGTCAGACAGACACTCCAATGGCTTGCAGTCACCAACAGAGCTTGGGAAGATGTTCAGAGCCCCTGCTCCAACCTTTTCCTCTGTGGTTGCTCAAGCTCTCCTCAATATTGCCATCTTCAGCATCTTTAAAATTAGATGAGTAGCTCTAATTAAATGAGTGACTAAGCAGGTGGTGCCTTCTGCAGGCTTCTCACCTCCTGCTCTGCCAGCTAACAAAGATGTTCTGGTAGAATATATGGACTCCACTCCTGATGTCCCCATCCAAAGCTTATGTTTTTCCTAACATGTAGGAGTAGAGAAAGAGTGAGGTGAAATCAACTCATACCTCATGGGGTGAGGCCACGAAAGAGCATTCCAGTTGGTCAGAGCGACGCTTGTTCCAGTTCATCTGCCTGCAGTTTGACTTGTGAGTTTATGGTAGATCAATTTGTATGGATAGAGACTTTACTAGAAAGGACTATAAAATTCTAGCTCTTCTTTCCCTTGAAATGTGAAATTGGCTTAAAGATTTATCACCAAGGAGTAACGTTTCTCTCCTTTAGGAAAGAGTAAGCTTTTATCTCAAAGGAGGTATTAATCCCTATCACAGGCACCTGTGATACACAGTTCCCAGCACTTCAGCAGGTAAAAGTCTCCTCTCTGTGGTGGAACAAAGTTTCTTTATCCCTAAAAACCCTAGTCATGTGTGTTGTTTTCAGATTGTCACTCTCAGGAACCGGATTGATCAGGCTCAGAAACAGTAAGTACCCATATCCCCTCCCAAGCTCCTGGCTGGGGATATCCTCTAAGTGTTCAAAGTAGTCACTTCAGCCTCAACAACAACATTTTCTTGTTGCAATGAAATGAGGCTAAAGATGGAAGGATAACTCCCATTCTGCCTCACGCTGAGAAAATGAAGGGCAAAATGAAGTGAACATAACAGCTAAATAAAAATCACATTTCTTCATGCCATGCCTGCACAGTTTCCATCTGCTAATTCCTGGGATTTTCAAACGCCTGATTGAGATGCTTTGAATACACAAGGAGATCTAAATATCTTGTTTACGAAGGGTAAACAAGTGACTGCTAAGAATGGTGTGTAACAAAACTAACATCACAGGATTGTACTGTTACAAGTTCTTTTCACTCATCTCTCTCCTCCTGCTTTCCTTCTTCATATGACTTCTATTTAATCTGATTTTTCTGAGTCTCATGTCTTTAACTATTTTACATGTTTGCAGTGAACTTGTGGGAGACTAGGGCTAGAAGAAACCTGGAAGCTAGAGCATGTAGAAAAGTAACGGACATAGAAGAGGAGCTGCAGAGAAGCAAGGGAGAACTCTGCACTGATGGGATGTGGTCTTCTCAGTGCTTCCTAACCTAAGCAAAGCAACGTCAGGATGAAATGCTGGTCTGTGATGACATCTTTGGCTGATAGGAGTGACAGGCACTGCCTCGCCACCTCACCACATAACCTTGCCTTATCAGATGAACATAGCACTGGGAGCTCAGTTGTCTGTAGGTGCCAAACACAAGACTGGATCTCCCTGCGGTATTTTGTGTACAGAGCTGTAGACTGATAAACCGCAACAGAATGTGCACCTGCAGAAAGGTGCAGTGGTTTGCTGCTCTTTTGAGGGACACTGCAACCTCTACTCATAACTGTTCCCCAAAAGATATGATACATTCTCAGCACAATATTTGAAAAGGTTGCACCGGGAAGTCCACAGCTCATGAGATTTCTTTGTATTTGAATTTCTATCCAAAACAGACTGTAACATTCCGAAGCAATGTCTGCTGGTGTGTTATACGAGGATCAAGTGATCCTATTGCTTCAGACTTTTATTAAGTCTCCTTAAGCACATTCTAAAGGTTAGGCATAACATCAAACACTACAGGCGTTTGTGGAGATAAAAGGGCTCTGCCTTCATTTGAGGAGCTGTAGAGTTCCTATACTGGATTTTGAACCCGTGGGGAAGTTGGCAAAAGCAACACAAAGATGAATTTAACAGAAGCAGAAATCTTTCAACTGTCTCTCATGCAAAAGTTCGTTTTTCAAATAGGTCAAGTCTAAGTTGGTCTTAAGGTAAAGTATCCACTATATGTACTGTCTGTGTCACTGTGTTACATCATTCTATAAACACAGCTAGCATTCTTGAACAGATGGGGCAGTGCCACAAAAATCTGCCCAGATATGTCTTCCTCATCTTTCTCCGCTCTGAAGAAATCAGTGGTTCTGAAGCAGGTATCTTTAATGACAGCAAGGCCCTACTACGCTGTGCCTGCCCCCAACCCCACGTTCTTCCAAGTCAAAGATGTGCTTCAATTTTGCATGTGCTTTGGGTTCAAGAAGCAGCTTCACTGTCCTGTGTGTGTGAGATGGGTTTGATGGTGTGCTGTGCGCCAAAAGCCAAGATTTTATCAATGGGAGCCAGTACAGAATCTAACCCAACTAACTTCATACCTGGTCCCTCTGTGGCTCCAGGTGTGCCAGTTTCTCAGTCAGAAGGTAAGTGGCTTGCATGCAGGATTGTTCCTCTGTATGCAAGAAGATAATGTTTGGAGAGAACTTGCTTTGTGTGGGGACTGTAGCTGGACTGCTCCCATGTACAACATGAGCAAGATTGGAATATTGGGAGGCCTAAAAACTTTGAATTGTTTTGGAGACTTGCTCTAAGAAAGAAGTTATTCTGCTTGTGCTAGAGCGAAACAGTTCTAGTTGTATTTAAATTACCGTTCAACCTGTTATCTTAGTTACCAGATAGCTAGGACTGGGGAACTCAACAAGAGCTCCCTGATGAGAAGAGAATTTTCTTTAGAAACACATTCAAATCCAGATCAAAGCAGATCTGAATTCAGAAGACTTCAAATGTATGGCAGGATAGTCTTGTTGCTTAGTTCTGAGATTGGTTGGACTTCTGTCCAGTTAATGCAGGAATCTGGAAGGGTCCACCTCTTCCAGGAATGCACATCCTGGCCTTTTGCTAAGACTCAGAAATAGAAAATCTTTCCACAACATCCACAATGTTTTTCTCGGGATGTGCTCGATAACGGGTGTGCCCAGCATGTGAAAAGCAAAAGCAGCTCCATGCTAATCTGAGAGTCAGAAGTAGAGTGTAGAGTGTAGGGCAGTAGAATGCCCTACTGCTTCCTTCAAACTGACATGTTTTCCTTGCCTTTTGTATTGCAGCAGCAAGAAGGCAGGAGCCAAAGGCAAGGTTGGCGGGCGCTGGAAATAAAGAACCAGGTAGAATGGCCCTTAGTGATGTGCCGAAACCCTGCTGGTCTCTTCCTTCTTCATTCACAAACCACTTGTGTTCCCGTGCCTCAGCGATAACTAAAATTGCAACATCAGCCTGGGTTGGCTATTGCTGCTGCTTTTCTTCTTCCTGGAAGGGTCTGGTGGCTTCCTCAGTCAACAGGAAGCAGGTTCCCTTTGGAAATGGGGAGACTCCTTGCTGGCATCTTCAATTCCTGCTGAGCATGTCCTTTATCCTCCTGACACCAGCCCTACGCTGTCCTGTAGATTGCTGTGTACAAATCTCTGGATTTTGTAAATAAAGCGCAACCAGTACCTACTTCAATAACAGTTGAACGATGTTTTGTATTTTACTTAATGGAAATTAAGGGTTAAACCAAATGCTTATCTAGTAATATTTGACCTGACTCTGCAAATGGGAATGAGGGAATGAGGTTCAATATCATTAACCAAGAACCAGGATTCAGGGCCAGATTTACAGCCTCTATGCAGGCAGATAAGAAAACCCAGCTCTGTTCTGAGGGAGTTCATAATCTATGTGCCTGTCTGGAATCCAAATGCAGTCGAAGCAGACTTAAAAATGTGAGTGATGAAAGGAATCAAAGACTTGGGTGTGGGGAAATGAATCCACAGAAGTAGAAGCTTTCAGCACATGGCATTTCTTAAATGCAGATGTGGCAGCACAGCAACAGAGCACTTTTAACTCAAATATTACGCTGAAATGTTTATTGAGGCAGTTAATCAACATACAGTATTGAAATCCAATGAAGAGACACAGAACAGCTGCTAACAAACGTGGGTTCTGAGCTGTTGTGTAGAGCTGCTCTCCTCACCAGCCTTGGAGGCACTTCATTGGAAGGAAGCCTTCCAGAGATTTCCCACCTGGTTTCCTACCAAGCTTTTAGTGCCAGATTTTCCACTATTCCCAGTTCTCTGGCTAGTATAAATAAGCCTGCTTATGGTCATCCCTGTGATGACCCTGTGAACCTTAGCGATTCCATGATTCTACCGTAAGAGCTGGCCTCCAACCCACAACCGTCCTCCCTCCAGGGCCGGGCTTGTGAACGAGTCCCGCTGTGGCTGTAGAGGGCAGCCTTGAGAGGAGCGCCAACGTAGAAGCGCCGAATTCCACCCTGTCACCGCTCCTCCGCGCCAGCAGGGGGCGCCAGCGGCGGCGTTCTCCTCGCGTTACGCCGCTCTGTGGTCGCAGCACTTCCGGGCCGGACGGCGGCCATGGCGGCGGGCGGCAGGAAGGCCGTGTGAGCAGGCTGGGCGGTGCGGGGATGGGGTTAGCGGTGCAGTAATGCCGCTTGGTTGCTTATCGGGCCTTCTTCTCCCCTCAGGTACCCCTTGTTCCAGCTGGGCGGCCCCCAGCTGCGGATTTTCCGCCCCAACTTCTACATGTTAGCCGTGCGGCCCGGCGTGCCGCAGCCCGAGGACACCGTGCAGTTCCGCGTCTCCATGGAGTGAGTGCGGGCGGAGGGCGGCATGTCGGCCCAGGGAGCGAACGGCTCCCCGTCTGCTTTGTCCGACCTGCTGCTCTTTACGTACCTGTGGGGATGAGGGTGAGGGACTGGAAAGAGCGGTCCTTGAGAGCAGCCCTGCGGAGAAGGACCTGGGGGTCTTAGTAGATGGAAAGCTTAACGTGAGCCAGCAGTGTGCTCTTGCAGCTAGGAAAGCAAATGGTATCCTGGGCTTCATTAGAGGAGAGGTGGCCAGCAGGGACAGGGAGGTGATTGTCCCCCTCTGCTCTGCTCTTGTGAGGCCCCATCTGGAGTACTGTGTCCAGGTCTGGAGCCCCCAGTACAAGAAAGACAGGGAGCTGTTGGAGAGGGTCCAGAGGAGGGCCACAGAGATGATCAGGGGACTGGATCACCTCCCCTACAAAGAGGCTGAGGGAGCTGGGCTTGTTCAGCCTGGAGAAAAGAAGGCTGTGGGGTGACCTCATTGCAGCCTTTCGGTACCTAAAGGGAGCCTACAAACAGGAGGGGAATCAACTCTTTGGAAGGATAGATAACAGCAGGACAAGGGGAAATGGTTTGAAGTTGAGGGAGGGAAAATTTAGGTTGGATGTCAGGGGGAAGTCCTTTACAGAGAGAGTGATGAGGTGCTGGAACAGGCTGCCCAGAGAGGTTGTGGATCCCCATCCTTGGAGGTGTTCAAGGCCACGTTGGATGGGGCCCTGGGCAGCCTGGTCTAGTATTAAATGTGGAGGTTGGTAGCCCTGCATGTGGCAGGGGGGATGGAGATTCACGATCCTTGAGGTCCCTTCCAACCCTGGCCATTCTGTGATTCTGATGGGGCTGAAGGAAGGGCCTTCTGCATGCCAGAGCTTCCAAGGCAGAATGCAGAACATCCTGCACATTTTTACTGCTGAGGCTACAGAGAATAAAGTGTTTACAGGCACTACAGTTTATGGTTATGAGTTGTTTCAGTGGTATATGATTTATGTTGAGTTTATACTCCTGTGCAGTGAATCTACCTTGGTTTGGTTAAAGGGGAAGCCAAATTTATCCCTCTGTCTGTTTGGAGTTTAGTTAAATGTTTATACTTCTGCTTTTTTCTTTCCCTGTAGTTAAATATTCATATTTCTGCTTCTTTCTTCCCCCAAAATACTGTCTCCTTGCTTAGAATGACAAAAGTGGATATCAAGAATTACCTTGAGAAAATCTATAATGTGCCAGTAGCTGCTGTGAGGACCAGGATACAGTATGGTAAGTGCAGTTGAACAATTTAAAGGGGTGGTTACAGTTTCCTTGCTCATCTGTATATTTCTTCCTTAAAATAAGTATGTGCCACTTCATATGTACCTCTTCACATTTGAATGCTTTGTTTAGATTAGAACATCAGCTTTTTCTCTTAAAAACTTAATTTTAAAAGACTTAAAATCTTGACTGATTTTCTGACCCGTACCAAATGCTTTGGTACCATTTCTTTGTGAAGACCAGCGGGTGTTTCACTCACTTCAGAAGGAGCTGCTTCACGAGTTTACCTAACTTGTAGAGAGGAGGTGTTATGGTCTGACAGAGGCCAGAGTGTGTAGAGGGAAAAAATACTCAATTAGACAAGTAGATAATATCAGAAACACACCTTTACAATTTTTTTTCCCCTTGTAGTTACCACATTTCTGCTGTAGATTTGTTTGTATCCACTTATTGTGTTTCTTCACTATGCTGCACTTGTACCAAAACAAAACAAAACAAAAAAACCCAACCCCACAAAGAAACAAAGTGTTCAAAAAACCAACTTCTTAAAAAAAAAAAAAAAAAAAAAAAAAACCCCAAAAAACAAAAAACAAAAAAACCAAAAGCAAAAAACCAGCCAAAAAACGTTCCTAGTTTTGCTGAACTCACACGTGGTGCACTCTTCTCCAATTGAGCTAGGCTGGGATTATGTACAATCCCATTCACATATGAATGCTTCCTTTCGCAGAGCATCTCTGAATGCATTTTGTATGCTGTACAAAGTCAGGAGCACCATTTTTATGTCAGGCATGTTTTTGATCAGCAGGTAGCTAATTAATCACACAGACAGTGACTTGTTGTGTAGCACATCTTTGGCTGGATTCTTCTTTTTCGTGAACTAACTAGGAAAGGAACTGATTGATGTGTTTCTAATCCCAGGAGCAGGGGCAATTTTTAAAAAGGTGTAGGGTAAAAAGGGCTGTGATAGTGAAAAATGGAGAATGAAAGATAAAGCATCAGAAGAAGGTTGTAACTCAGAACACATAGAATAGAAGGAAAACAAAGATCATCTGCAATATGCCTATGTAGAAACTGAAGTCTTTAATACCAAAAATATTCCATTGTCAACAGCACTAAAAAATCTTCTTGTTTGTCCTTGTAACCTTGTTTTGTTCCTCATTACTTATGGAAGTGTTGTTAATATGTGTATAGTCAGGGATAGAAGAGGAAAGGTTTAGGGTGTCTCGTAGTTCAAGAGCTTTAATTCTCTTACATGCAGGGAGTAAAATGAACTTCTGAACACAACTTGCATAATGTGAAGATGCTTTATTTTGTTGGTTTTTTTTGGGTCTGGAGTGTAATTTTCTGATTTGTTTGACAATAGATCATTCTCATTAGCTGAGCAGTAAAAAGTGACCAGTCTGAAGCTGCTCAGTGGTCATTTCCTCATTATTTGACTGAAGCTGTTAATGTTGGAAGGGCAGTTTGTTTCTCCTGGCCCTCTACTCAGAAGAATTTCCACTTTACTGCTTTGCAAAATTTGTGTTGTGACCATGAAAGCATGTCAGCAGTTTGAATCTGATCTCCTCTCCTTACATGTGAGCAGTGTTTACCAGCTTCAGTACATTCTAGTAATTGAGATATTACTGTGTAGTATGTATGTTGATATTGATGGAATTAAGATGAATCTTAACAAAAAATCGAGATTGGGGAAGTCCCCCCCTTCAGCCTGCTCTTCCTTTTGGGTACTTGGAAGTCCTTTGTAGTTACTGATGGGCCTCTTCTATTCTGCAGGTGCAAACAACAAGAGAAACCATAAGAATCAGAGAGTGAAGAAACCAGATTACAAGGTCGCCTACGTACAGCTGGTGAGTTCATGTGGATGCTTGCAGGGAAAGAAGAAGGAGCTGTTAATCAGCCAGGCTGGAAGGAATGCTTAGTGAATTGTCCAGTTGGCTGGCTATTTCTTCCAGTCCTCTAATGTAGATTATTATATATTTTTTTTAATATGTTCCAGAATGTATAAAGACATTTGATGACTTAGCTGAAAAACAAATTCAAACAAAACGTTAGTTCTCAAGTCCCGTTTTTGTCTGAGGCTTCTATGTAAGTTACGGTCTGATGTCATACAGTGCTGCTTTGCCAGTGAGTTTCATACTGACCCTGTACTCTGGAAAGTTCATGACTTGTGTGGTTGATTGCTGAAATGTCCAGTAAGTAAAAGAATATATTGTAAGGATGGGGAACTTTTTATTAAAGCTCTTTGGATCTCAGAGAAGACTAAAGCATATTCCCTGAGGAGCTTTTAGTCATGTCTAGTAAGTGTGCTTTGTGGCTGAAGTGGGTTCTAAAACATATGTTGGTTGCCCAGTGGAAAAGGAGCTTCATGTTCTTATGAGTTTCTTTCATAACAGAAGCGCATTATAGTTCAGACTTCTCTTGGGCTTACCTGGCTACAAGGAAAAAAGAAATGCCACCCATGAAAGAAAAACCTTTCACATACCAAAATTACATTAAAGGAATGCTATTTATGGTTGTAAAGCCGTAAGTTCAAAGTTGTTGTTGGCAACACAACCTCAATATTACTCTGTCCTGGGACACTGAGTTAGTGTGGGGGAGCGTCGCG